AATACTTCCTATCATTCCAAGAGAATGCTTTGAGGGTTGTGATTCTGGTCACTACAAGGGACTATAATATATTTCTTATTAAAGATTAACTCACGTTTTACGCCTTTAATGAAAGCTTGGAGCCGAAATGAAATTGGCATTTTGTTCACAATATATAACATTATACGTTTTCAGAACAGTCCCAAGGTTTTATGCGCAAATAATTTCATCTCTTTTTACGAAGTGTAGCGGGATTTAGCACCACTTTAGACTTTAGTCGTGCATGTGTAAACAGTTGCTCCTGCCCCCTAAAGACTTTCATTCCGTCACACACATTTCTTGAAGACTTTTCTGTTGATATTTTTATTGTTTACATAATTGCCTTTCGATTTATTTCTTAAACAAAATTCTGTTTAAGAAATCGTTTTGTTTCAGAAATGATTCAATATAAATTAAGAAATCTTATATTTTTCTCAACACTCCACATGCAACAATTTCCTCACCCAGACTTACTTGCATTGATGCAAACTCTCCACTTTTTTTTCAATAACCAAGGCCCTCATTCAACTCAGGATAACCTATCCAGAACCACAACTTTCAGATGAGCCTAGAGAAAAGCACAGTATAAAAAAGCTTTTCTAAATTTTAGGAACAAAAATCACCAATTTCTGCAAAAGCTACTTTTATGAAACGATATTAGGTGCAGGCGAAGGCCAAAATTATGTACAGATTTCATATGAGTTATAAAAATCAATATAAATATAGGTATGAGTGTATTCAATACACAGAGTGTTGCATCAATGAGCAAATTCTTAGGAGCCGTGATGTGGGTTCGAACCTGTGTACTGGGTATTCCCAGACGGTCTAAACAACTGTGCCATGATATAGTTTCTTTTGACCATGTCGTGTCACAGTCGTCTAGACCGTGTGCATGAAAACACTCACCGTATAGATTCGAACCCACATCACGGCTCCTGTCGACTTGCTCACTGTATTCACTGTTACATATATACAAATATCATCAATTAGATATATTTGTTTAAGCAATACTTTATGTTCTTGGAAGCACATTCCAAGTACAACGTTAATTCACAGCATTTTTAAATGACCAAACTGCTTTCGTTAATTCAAATTTGCAGTAATAACAACACGAATAACGATGCAAGTGGAGGCGGTGAAGACATAACAGGAAGTGCGACCACTCCGGGTGGTGTAGGAGCCCGGGTCACATTACTGCCTGTTTGTACAAGAACGCTGCCGCCTCGTAAACAAAATTTTTTCTGTTTACTTTTCTGAAACTCGTAAACGTGAAATTTTTGTTCGGTAGATTTGGGGTTTCAGGAGGGCTCTCCTTGCCGTTGATCAGCCTGGCAAGTCTAGCACTGCTGCTCAGCTGGGCATGCTTCGCCGTTACGCAACTCGGCACGCCTCACCGTTACGCAGCTGGGCACGCCTCGCCGTTACACAGTTGGGCACGCCTCGCCGTTACGCAGCTGGGCACGCCTCGCCGTTACGCAACTGGGCACGCCTCGCCACACAACACCTCACCCGACATACAACAAACAGATAATCGAAAAATCAAATCAACTATTTAAACGAAAAATGTTGCCTACAACAGCCTCCACCTTCAACGCGTACCTGAAGGCCAAACACAGGAAAAATAAATAACAGAGAAGTAGAAGAGAGCAGATAGGTACACGCCAGAGATAAACAGATAATTTATCAAACACAATCACAATTGGTAGCCGGTGAAGTGAGAGGATACGAGGGGAAGTTAGTGCCGATTGTGAGAGTGGGTCGTGAGGCACTGGATGCTCTGCTCCCACAATAACACGAGGGGGAACAGCTAGTGGGGTGGGACGCTGGATGCCCTGGAAACACAAACCGAAACTGTCTCTATTTTCCGCTTGTTACAACTTGTAATAAAGTTGTTACATCTTGGATTAACGTGTTTATGACGTATTAGAACGTTGTTACAACTTGCTATATTGGTTGTTATAACTGGTTAGGTGTTAAAACTTGTTCGAACGTTGTACCAACGCCGTAGTTTTGGTGTGTGTTTGGCGGGTGGCTACCCAGCTTGTGGGGTGGGTAGCTAGATAGTTGGCGTAGTTGGTGGAAGCGGCAGCTGGTGTACAGGATGTAGAAACAGCTGGCGGAGTGGGTGGACAGCTGATGGGTTGGGTAGACAGCTGGTGGAGTGGTTGGAGAGACAGTTGGTGTAATGAGTGAAGCAAGAATATGTAGGGTGGGTGCACCGGACCTTAAAAAGAGGCCTTACTGCCATCTTCATGAAAGATTCCATCCCCCTCCAATGGTTGTTGATCACAGAGGAGCCTCGCCTTCGTTATGCTCACAAAACACTTGTAAACCACAAAGGTTCAGTTGTGTGTGTGTGATGCTAGACATTGTATCAAGAAAACTCTAAGGTAGCATGGTTTTGTAACACGTGTGTGTGTGTGTGTGTGTGTGTGTGTGTGTGTGTGTGTGTGTGTGTGTGTGTGTGTGTGTGTGTGTGTGTGTGTGTGCGCGCGTGTGAGTGTGTGTGTGTAAGGGTTTGTGATAGTCGGTGGTCAAATTCAATAACTCCCAGCCCCTTCGTTCCTTGTCATATTTGCTGTTAAAACTACGGACATATGTAGCCTCTACGATTTTCCCTATTTCTAAGCCGTTTCTGTTTCCCCCAATTTCTCGATCTTTATTTTGTATCCTATTTCTCAGCCGTATATTATAGCTATCTTGCTTTTCTTCTAGCACCGTTGTATTCTTTCTCGATATACCATATCTGTATTTTGTAGTAGAGGCTACGAGTCATTGCTGCACGCTCTAGCACTGGTCTTACATATGTTATAGATAGCGATTTGATGATATCTTTATCCCAATTTCATTACGTTACCCTGAAATCGGCAGCTTTACATATGCTGCTGGTATGATTATGTCTACGTTTACCTCCGGAGTTAGTTTATAGTTCAGCGTTATATATTCATTCAGTCCTTTTCTCCAACACCAGAGAGTTCCTTCTTTTCAATGTGCATTTTTGTTATTTTTTCAGACCTACTTTAACTAATCCTATTATTCTTTCAATTACATTTGTTTATGTCGAAATCTAGTAACCACTTGTCACTCGTCTTAACTCATTTTCAAGCAGTTACACGCGGGAATATGCACAAGCGCGTTCGTGAATGTGTTTGTGCGTGCGTGTGCGCGTTCCTGAATGTTTTTGTGCCTGCGTGCGAGAGCCCAAGCGGTGCATATGTTTCCTGGCGATTTTTGTCTTCTTTTTGCATGTTAACGTTCAATAATTTGGGTTACACACACACACACACACACACACACACACACACACACACACACACACACACACACACACACACACACACACACACACACACACACATGTCCTGGTGCTGGGCTTCACTACTGTGATCTCGGAAAACATTAAACAGATTTGGTTAGGAACCGATTCCCTCAGCCAGTGAACAAGTTTGTTTACATACTGTAGTTCATGGAGTTAACTCACTTTAATAAAAGTGAGAGCAGGCTTGAATCCTTTAAAAAAAAGGATTCGAATATAAATATCCGTATGAACTTTAGAAAACCTATATAACCTAAAATTCATGATACTATCTGGGAAATTTTGTTGGGGACAGCGAATATTTCCGACACATATACTCTTGTGGAGGACAGTTGGAGGGTACTGGATGAACATAGGACTCACCACCTTTCAAAACTTATAACGCAATTGTTCGTAGAGTGGGCATAATACTTGGCGGGCCATGGTTCGAACCTTTTTGAAGTTATTGGTGGCAATAATGATGGTGTGAAATAAAGATGGTGTGAAAGGAATAAGGGGAAGATTAAGAGTTCTCACAAAAATTAGAGGTTAAAAAAAACTTGCTATTATTTGTCGAGAATTGAAACAAGAAATCAATAAATTTTCAAGTTAAGGGTATTTTAGTTGCGAACTTATAAAAAGCTAAATATATCAAGGTTCGGCGTTCAGAGCGAAATGGCTTTCCCTGGGCAGTATGGATGACAGGAAGAGGAACTGTGACAGGGAAATTCGTCAGATCCTCAATAGATGCACCCTGTCTATTAAATGTCTATCAGAGATCGCTGACAGTTCTCCCTTATCACCCACACTTCTCTTAAAAGGTATTTTTGCCACCGGAAGCGGCGCAGAAGTGAGCCTGCCTTTAAATGTTAAGCATTGTACAATAAGTTTCATAAGTACATAATAATAAAAAAGAAAGTATAGTTTCATTTGTACTGTCAATACAGCTTCCAGACAGCAGGTACTTTCTCATGATGTGCATGGAAAGTTACTTTCTAAGAAATAGTAGAAAGTTCAGTTACAAAGGGTTGATGTTCCATGAAGTGTTTTGTATATTAGAGCAGACATTGAAGTTCTCTTTCACATTAATTTTTAACTCACGGTGCAAATATTGGCAACTCTTTTACATAAAACAACTAAACAAATGCTAAAATTAATCTCAGTGACTTATTGATAATTTCACTGATCATTTATATAGTAAAGATAATGAGGGCAGAATTGATGATCTCATTACGACCTTGACTCATTGATTCATCTTATTAAGACCTTGATTCATTGATTCATCTCATTAAGACCTCGATTCATTGATTCATCTCATTAAGACCTCGATTCATTGATTCATCTCATTAAGACCTTGATTCACTGAGTCAACTCATTAAGACCTTGATTCATTGAGTCAACTCATTAAGACCTTGATTCATCTCATTAAGACCTTAATTCATCCTCTTAAGACCTTGATTCATCTCATTAAGACCTTGATTCATCTCATTAAGACCTTGATTCATCTTCTTAAGACCTTGATTCATCTCATTAAGATTAAGACCTTGATTCATCTCATTAAGACCTTGATTCATCTGATTAAGACCTTGATTCACTGAGTCAACTCATTAAGACCTTGATTCATCTCATTAAAGACCTTAATTCATTGGTTCACCTCACTAAGACCTTGCTGTTGCTTGTGCTGCAGGTGTCGTGGATCCGTCACCGGGACCTGCACGTGCTGACGGTGAGCTCCTTCACCTTCACTAACGACGAGAGGTTCTCGGCCCACCGGGACCCCGCCACAGGTGACTGGGTCTTGGTGTTGCGGCGGCCGCTGCCCTCGGACTCAGGATTTTACGAGTGTTCCATCTCCACCAAGCCCGTCACCACAATTAGTGTCAAGCTCGATGTTGTTGGTGAGTATCTTGTGAGTTCTGGTGTTGAGGGAAGGGCGTCGCCTGTCAGTGTGGAGGACTGAGAGGACCAGGCATGTGAGTTCTGGTGTTGTGGGAGGAGCGTCGCCAGTCAGTGTGGAGGACTGAGAGGACCAGGCATGTGAGTTCTGGTGTTGTGGGAGGAGCGTCGCCTGTCAGTGTGGAGGACTGAGAGGACCAGGCATGTGAGTTCTGGTGTTGTGGGAGGAGCGTCGCCAGTCAGTGTGGAGGACTGAGAGGACCAGGCATGTGAGTTCTGGTGTTGAGGCAGGAGCGTCGCCTGTCAGTGTGGAGGACTGAGAGGACCAGGCATGTGAGTTCTGGTGTTGTGGGAGGAGCGTCCCCAGTCAGTGTGGAGGACTGAGAGGACCAGGCATGTGAGTTCTGGTGTTGAGGGAGGAGCGTCGCCAGTCAGTGTGGAGGACTGAGAGGACCAGGCATGTGAGTTCTGGTGTTGAGGGAGGAGCGTCGCCTGTCAGTGTGGAGGACTGAGAGGACCAGGCATGTGAGTTCTGGTGTTGAGGGAGGAGCGTCGCCTGTCAGTGTGGAGGACTGAGAGGACCAGGCATGTGAGTTCTGGTGTTGTGGGAGGAGCGTCGCCAGTCAGTGTGGAGGACTGAGAGGACCAGGCATGTGAGTTCTGGTGTTGAGGGAGGAGCGTCGCCTGTCAGTGTGGAGGACTGAGAGGACCAGGCATGTGAGTTCTGGTGTTGTGGGAGGAGCGTCGCCAGTCAGTGTGGAGGACTGAGAGGACCAGGCATGTGAGTTCTGGTGTTGAGGGAGGAGCGTCGCCTGTCAGTGTGGAGGACTGAGAGGACCAGGCATGTGAGTTCTGGTGTTGTGGGAGGAGCGTCGCCAGTCAGTGTGGAGGACTGAGAGGACCAGGCATGTGAGTTCTGGTGTTGAGGGAGGAGCGTCGCCAGTCAGTGTGGAGGACTGAGAGGACCAGGCATGTGAGTTCTGGTGTTGAGGGAGGAGCGTCGCCAGTCAGTGTGGAGGACTGAGAGGACCAGGCATGTGAGTTCTGGTGTTGAGGGAGGAGCGTCGCCAGTCAGTGTGGAGGACTGAGAGGACCAGGCATGTGAGTTCTGGTGTTGAGGGAGGAGCGTCGCCAGTCAGTGTGGAGGACTGAGAGGACCAGGCATGTGAGTTCTGGTGTTGAGGGAGGAGCGTCGCCAGTCAGTGTGGAGGACTGAGAGGACCAGGCATGTGAGTTCTGGTGTTGAGGGAGGAGCGTCGCCAGTCAGTGTGGAGGACTGAGAGGACCAGGCATGTGAGTTCTGGTGTTGTGGGAGGAGCGTCGCCAGTCAGTGTGGAGGACTGAGAGGACCAGGCATGTGAGTTCTGGTGTTGTGGGAGGAGCGTCGCCAGTCAGTGTGGAGGACTGAGAGGACCAGGCATGTGAGTTCTGGTGTTGAGGGAGGAGCGTCGCCAGTCAGTGTGGAGGACTGAGAGGACCAGGCATGTGAGTTCTGGTGTTGAGGGAGGAGCGTCGCCAGTCAGTGTGGAGGACTGAGAGGACCAGGCATGTGAGTTCTGGTGTTGTGGGAGGAGCGTCGCCAGTCAGTGTGGAGGACTGAGAGGACCAGGCATGTGAGTTCTGGTGTTGTGGGAGGAGCGTCGCCAGTCAGTGTGGAGGACTGAGAGGACCAGGCATGTGAGTTCTGGTGTTGTGGGAGGAGCGTCGCCAGTCAGTGTGGAGGACTGAGAGGACCAGGCATGTGAGTTCTGGTGTTGTGGGAGGAGCGTCGCCAGTCAGTGTGGAGGACTGAGAGGACCAGGCATGTGAGTTCTGGTGTTGTGGGAGGAGCGTCGCCAGTCAGTGTGGAGGACTGAGAGGACCAGGCATGTGAGTTCTGGTGTTGAGGGAGGAGCGTCGCCTGTCAGTGTGGAGGACTGAGAGGACCAGGCATGTGAGTTCTGGTGTTGAGGGAGGAGCGTCGCCTGTCAGTGTGGAGGACTGAGAGGACCAGGCATGTGAGTTCTGGTGTTGTGGGAGGAGCGTCGCCAGTCAGTGTGGAGGACTGAGAGGACCAGGCATGTGAGTTCTGGTGTTGAGGGAGGAGCGTCGCCAGTCAGTGTGGAGGACTGAGAGGACCAGGCATGTGAGTTCTGGTGTTGAGGGAGGAGCGTCGCCTGTCAGTGTGGAGGACTGAGAGGACCAGGCATGTGAGTTCTGGTGTTGTGGGAGGAGCGTCGCCAGTCAGTGTGGAGGACTGAGAGGACCAGGCATGTGAGTTCTGGTGTTGAGGGAGGAGCGTCGCCAGTCAGTGTGGAGGACTGAGAGGACCAGGCATGTGAGTTCTGGTGTTGAGGGAGGAGCGTCGCCAGTCAGTGTGGAGGACTGAGAGGACCAGGCATGTGAGTTCTGGTGTTGAGGGAGGAGCGTCGCCAGTCAGTGTGGAGGACTGAGAGGACCAGGCATGTGAGTTCTGGTGTTGAGGGAGGAGCGTCGCCAGTCAGTGTGGAGGACTGAGAGGACCAGGCATGTGAGTTCTGGTGTTGAGGGAGGAGCGTCGCCAGTCAGTGTGGAGGACTGAGAGGACCAGGCATGTGAGTTCTGGTGTTGAGGGAGGAGCGTCGCCTGTCAGTGTGGAGGACTGAGAGGACCAGGCACAAGGATTATAAGGTTTTAGGCTCTCTGAAGTTTGTTTTTGTGTTGTGTTACAGTTTTATATGTGATGCGTGACTTGTTTATGGTATTTATTCAAGTGAGATGTCATATGGTGTCCGTTTTAACAGCTTTACATGCACATTCTCTCTCTGTCTCTCTCACACACACACACACACACACACACACACACACACACACACACACACACACACACACACATGCCGAAGATAAAGGCGTGATAATTTAGGAAATTAAGGGATGACCTGGAAATTGAAGGACCAACAAGTTACTACTAGCATGAACTAGGTCATCTCCGGTACAAGGTCATGACTGGGATCAAGGGTAGAACGAGGTCATGAACGAGGTCAACAGTGTTCATGACAATAGGTGGTTTACAAGAGGAGTCTTAAGTAATATCCTATATCATCTGACTCTTGAAAAATTCTGCATCTCGCAGGAAAACTGTTGACATTCTTGGTTGAATATCCTGGTGACTGACCTGGTGAACATCCTGTTTTTAATCACGGTGACAGTCCTGATAAATGACGTTTGTCATTTGTCGTTTAAATGGTGTTGATCTTAATGACTGCCATTGTACCCGTCATGGTGTCTTAGTGAATGATCACCCTTCCACAATCCTTGTTACAGAGAAGTGATTTACCTGTTGGTCTGGGGCAGTACTCACGTCTCAAACACTCGCTCTCAGCATACATAGAAACAGACAGCAGTTGAAACATAAACAATAACCTAACAATACTGTTGATAAAATATATACAAAAAATACAAAATACAGACTTTATTAGCGATGATAGTTGCATAGTAACCAGAAAATAAACGAATTTCTGGATAACGGAGAAAACTTATAAATTGAAGACGAATAAAAGGGGATGTTAATGCAATTGGAGAAGGGGAAGGAAGAACCTAATAACATCAGAAGAGGGAGAACAGACACTAATAACAGTGCGAAAAGGGGACTGAAAGTGTGAACTTTCTTCAGTGGAGGAATTTTTGTAGAGTTTTGGGAATAAAGAATAGTGTCTTACTGTTAAAAAAAAAAATGTACTTAAGTCTAGTAAATGGAGTATGAAGCGAGCAACACTGTGGGTGGCGTTGGATTGGCGGTCGGTTAAAGACTGATAAATTTATTAACGAAATACAGGTAAGGGAGTTCGTTACTCTGTGCGAGTGATAAGAGTATTAGATCACCACAATAGCAGAGTCTCTCGCGAGACGTCTGTGAAAACAAAATTTCTCTCTCGCCAACGGGTGTTTGATAACACATTGCGCTGTAATTCTTGGGGATAGATTAGCTAAGTTGACCAGACCACACACAAGAAAGTGAAGGGACGACGACGTTTCGGTCCGTCCTGGACCATTCTCAAGTCGATTGTGTTAATAGTTTCTATGTAAATTTAACAAAGATATTCGCAATTTAGAATAAATTCACACTAGACCAAATTTACTATGCTAAGCAACAATGGGCCACCTGAAGGATACAAGGGTCAGTTAATAAATGAGACCCACTAACCAGAAGATCTATACCTGCATACTTATCCTGCAATCCAACCCACAAGTAAACATGCATCTGCTTTGGCACAGGCACCCTGAGAGTGCCACCATCTGCTGAACTCTGATTAAGTTCCTACTGGGCTCTATCCCGTCTCTTCAAGCATCGTTGACTTCCTACGAACCCAGCATTTCTGTAATGGGGTAGGGGAAACTCTGAACTCCCAATGACCAGGCGAGCAGTTAAGTACCTCTGAACCAAGGATATGTTCCATCCTCTGAACGGGTGATTCTCAACGTGGACCGTATGCATCTCCCTGTCCCTCCCGAAGTGCTCTCTCCTGTGTGTATAAGATCCATGGGCGCTTTAGGGACTTAAAAAAAAACTTAAAATCAAAACATTGGAACCGCGTTGGAACATATACTCACAAGATCATATTGGAACAAATGCATACACACACACACACACACACACACACACACACACACACACACACACACACACACACACATTAGGTGAGTACACACTGGTGGATAGCGCGCAGGACTCGTAATTCTGTGGCGCGGGTTCGATTCCCACACGAGGCAGAAACAAATGGGCAAAGTTTCTTTCACCCTAAGTGCCCCTGTTACCTAGCAGTAAATAGGTACCTGGGAGTTAGTCAGCTGTAACGGGCTGCTTCCTGGGGTGTGTGTGTGTGGTGTGAAAAAAAAAACAAAAAAAAAAAAGTAGTTAGTAAACAGTTGATTGACAGTTGAGAGGCGGGCCGAAAGAGCAAAGCTCAACCCCCGCAAAACACAACTAGTAAACACACACACACACACACACACACACACACACACACACACACAAAACGGTTTT